ACAGGCCACCAAATCCTTTGTATACCCTTTCAGACGATTTCCCAACAAAAAGAATCCCTGGGAGGATTGCCAGATTACAGGCTGAGTCACCACAGTAAAAGGTAGTCATTAGTATCAAGTTTTAATATATTCCCTTGAAACAGGATTCAGATAATGGTTGACCACCTCCTCTCACCTTCAATTAAGAGCTTAAGACCATCGACCATCCCTCTAAGTTCTACTGTATGCACTTGTCTATTCCTCCAGTTCAGAACTTTCTTTCCATTAGTCTCATTTGTTTTCAGATTAGTCTTGGTAAAAACTGTCACAATGTTTTCCATTTCTTTACCCATCATCAGCATCCAAGTATAAATTTGTCCTATTTTTTTTTTTTTTTTTAAGGCCGAATGTGTACCACAGTGAACAAAAGTAACAGTAAAGAGAAAAATGTGTAAGGTTTTATCTGGAGCCATACAGTTAATTGTGTGTTGGCAGTATTCGGTGTACCTTCATATTGAATCCTTCTGTATTTGTATGCAGGAGGTACAAAGTAATCTAACTTCTGCTTACTAAATTTCAGCTTATTCACCAAAGACTTGAGCGGTAATATTGTGCTAGTTACAAACTGTCTTTATACAAAAATGACATACATATACATCATATAATCGGTTCATAGATCCACTCCTAAGTTTTCTTTGTATATTTTTAAATTTTTATTTATTTTTGAGAGAGAGAGGGAGAGCACATGTGGGGGAGGGGCAGAGAACGAGAGAGGGAGACACAGACTCCAAAGCAGGCTCTAGGCTCTGAGTTATCAGCACAGAGTCCAACATGGGCCTCGAACCCATACTGTGAGATCATGACCTGAGCCAAGTCAGACATTCAACCAACTGAGCCACCAGGAGTCCCAGATCCACTCCCAAGTTTCAGTGAATATATTTGTTTAACTATCATGAAACATTGTCTTGTGACAGACGAGCCTCAGTTACAAATAGATTAGAGGACACCCTTTTTTGAAATTTCTTCTTGAATTTTGTTTACCTGTCTTCACCACCTTCCCCTGAACCTGTTTTGTTTTGTTTTGTTTTGTTTTTGTCAGTGTTCTACTTTCTATCTCGTTTATTATATTCATGCATTCCAGTTATGGTGTACAGAATTTTGATTGGGAGTGGCTTATTTGTATATTTTTACTTCTCAATAAACTCTATTTTCCTCCTTTTCTGACAATATACATTTATTTAACAATGCTATCAAATAGAAATTACTTAACTTCTCATCTTGATGAAATTGAAAAGCATTGTCAATTGCAGATAAAAAAACAGAACTCCTACCAACACTAAATTGAAGCTTGTGATTTTTTTTTTTTTTTTTTTTTTTTTAGTTTCTTGACCCTCTGTCGTTGTATGTGAGATCAAGCCTTTTCAATTTACTCAGAATGGCTGACTAGGCTAAATAGTGAGTATCCTTGGGCATCCCCAGGGAATTTGTGCTGTCTGAAGCATGATTCGTCTGCTAAGAAGTGACTAAATGAATTGAGTCTGGAAATGATCTGCTGGACATGCTTCTCTTTTGCATAACAACAAAATATACTTTGGGGGACCCTGTATCATGTTACATTAAAAAAAAGACTTCTAGGAAAAATTGTCCATTATACACTGAGAAGAATTTAAAATATTATTAAGTTAACTTCTCTAGTTTCTTAAATTAACTGTAGTCTGTGTTTTTGAGTTTTCAAGTTCTTATTAAATATTTGGGATCAATGTTTTCCTTGATTTAAAAAGGTTGCTTAGATAAGCGAAGACAAGATGAGCACAAATGAAGTGTGAGTCTCAAATTAATGCTGTTAAAATTCTAGGTTCCAGAAAAAAGATTGTGTGAAAGTCATTCTTTCACACCTGAAGCTAACTGAACTTGGGAGAGATGGCTGAGGTATTTAGACTGCCAAGGTTGGATGCAAAGGGATTTTGTTAGTCCCTCTCCCACCCTGATCCACTTTCCACACTTCTCCACCCTATGCTTTCGACCAGAAGGCTCATGCCTAAGGGTCAGTTCACCAGGGTCCCTTTGCTTTCTGCCTTCCCACTGGTGTCAGCTGATAGGAGGCACTGGCAGGGGATCCCGGGGAAGTAGAAAAAGAGTATAGTGTTTCCTGTTCCTTTCCTGCTTTAGGCTGCATTTCGTGGTGATAAATGGATCTCTCTATAATTACTAGAGCTAGAAGACTGAGGGAACAAGATTAATGGAGAAGACATGAATAAAGGGAGGAAGATGACCAGTGGTTGCATGGCCAAAGAGGGGTTTTGGGGTCAAACAAAATATTTATTTAGGCGTGCCTCCTAGCCTTGATGACACCATTGTATGAATTACTAAAAAATCCCCTTTCAATAAGATGATTTGCTCTTTTGTTCTATCTTTTTAAAAAAAATTTTAAATGGTTTTATTTATTTTTGAGAGAGAGAGAAAGAGGGGGGGGAGAGAGAGAGAGAGAGAGAGAGAGAGAGAGAGAGAGAACACTAGCAGGGGAGGGACAGAGAGAGAGGGAGAGAAAGAATCTCAGGCAGGATCCATACTGTCGGCACAGAGCCAGATGCGGGGCTCGAACCCACAAACCATGAGTTCATGGCCTGAGCTGAAATCGAGTTGTACACTTAACTGACTGAGCTGCCCAGGCACCCCTCAAGAATATGATTTTCAAGAAAGCAGGTCTCTCAGAAGATATGGTATACAAAGGCTCTTTTCCTGATCTTGATTGATACAGTCTCTCACCAGGACTTGTCTTCATGAGTGGAACCTAGCCTAGATTTTGATCTCTATTCAGCATCTCCGTGGGGAGCCTTTGTCTAGTGCACTTTTACACAAAGACAGCCTGCTGCTCTATGTCTCCTGGGGTTTTACTAAATTTGCTGTGTGGCATGAAATATGTACACTCTCCTCCATTTCCTCTATGATGTATTTAATAAACACTATATTGTTCAAAAAATATGCAAGTACCTGTGAGTTTGTTTTTCATCTTTAGGTGCTCAAAGAGGAGAACGAGGTGACAGCTGACATCTGGATTAAATGATATATGGTTACACAAAGAAGTGTATGAATAGCTAGATATCAGAATATGAAATAGAAATTCTGTTATTGATGAACATAAACTGAAGCCTCAAAGTTGTGGATAATTTCTAACATTGTAGACTGAGTTGCTAGACACATTCCCAATAAGACTCATGCAGGTTGGATCTGACACCATCTCTGTTCTTCAAAGCTGTGACCTAGGAGATGATGTCACCTGGTATAAACAAGGCCATCTAGACTCACTTATTTAGAAGGAGATGGAGGTGAGATGTGACTCCTGCTTTAGAAGGGACCACCAGGAGAGAGACAATCTTGACCATCTCTACTTCATGTTCAAAGTAAAATCCCTAATCTCCTCACAACCTCCCTTCCTTTCTTTCGCCCTATCTTGATTCACGTATTTATGAATTCTTCGAGTTCCATAACCTCAAAGTATCACAGCCTCAATGCCTTAGAAATGTCTTGAATTTCTTGCAAACATATATGGAATCTTTTATAGTGTGCATTTGCCACACTCCCCCCCCCTTTTTTTTAAACTATCCAAGTTCAAATTTTCTTTCCTTCTCACATTCAATACTTCAATATTCTAACTAAACCTAATCGAACTTCCATACTTCTACTCTATTTTTCTATCTTCTAATTTAAGCTCAAATATAGCCTTTCATATAAATGATATAGGTTCCAAGGACCATGTCAAACCTACCTAGTCTGATGTTCAGAAGCTCATGGTCTCATACAAGCTCTCTAGGTGGGTCTGATTCAACAGTATACATACTGGTAATCATATACCACTGTTGTATTGCATCGCATACATCATTCTCAGATGGGTCATCCTAAATCCCAGATTCCGGGCTAAGCAGCATTTGGTGCTTATCTTCCTGTGAGCTAATGAAGTCCCAAGTTTTAAGGCATTCCATAATCTGGTTCCAGCTCATAGATAAGGAAATGATCTTGTGCTTACCCTGTGCTTCCCTCAAACAAAAGACTTGCCATCACTCAAATAATCTCCAGGAAATTTCCATATATTTCTTTTTATACTCCCTTCCTTTATTTCTTATCTAAGAAATATAAATACCATTCATTCAAAATGTGGTGCTAAGGGTCATTTTCTGTACTAATTCCATTCAGCAAGGCTCAACTGAAGGTAAATCCATGCTTGATAGAGTTTAACACTTACTTTGTAGAATGTGGTATAAATAAAAAAAATAGTAAGAAACTAAAAGCCACATTTTAACTCTGGGTTGCCACTAAATGCTGAACAAGTCATTTAATTTCTAAAAATTTTTCCCCCCTCTAGTCTATAAATAGATAAGTAACATGCACTCTGTCTACCTCACAGAACAATGGAGAAGATTGGATTAGATTTATTTTTTTTATGCCAAGAATCCAAATGCCTGGGTTCTAGTTCCAGCTATGTCACTTCCAAGGTCTGACCTTGGGGAAACTACTTAACTTTCCCCAAGATTCGATTTCCTCATCTGTAAAATGTGGATCGAAATAATTCCGTGTTAAAGGATTATATGTTGAAAAGAGGATAGAACATTGTCTACCACCTAAATTGTGCTTCATAAATGATATTATTGTCATAAGGCCTTGATGAGTTTTTTCAATGCCCTTTGATATTCGGCATAGGAAATACAGACGGAATACATATGTTTTGAAAGAAAAAATGTTGAACATTAGAGTGAATGATAGGATAATTCATTTAGCTGTGATGCGCTGCTGAGCGAATAATGGATTTGGCCTAAACTGGAGGTAAAGGTGATTAGGTACTGTGGAAAAATAAGACTGAAAAGACAGAGCAAGTCCAGGTATGAAGAATTATGGAAACTACACACTGTTCAAATTTGATACAACAGACAAGTGGAAATCATCATGGCTAGTTGAACAGGGAAGCAATACAGATAAAGAAATGACTTTTTTTTTTTTTTTTTTTTTTTTTTTTTTTTTTTTTGCAGCAAGATATTGCATGGATTGGAAACAAGAAGGCATGTATATAGGCAACAAACTTTCATAGGTAATATCGCCTATTTTCATATATACTTCACAAAATAACTAATGGGTTACGAGAAGAGTTACGTATCATTATCATTAAGCTAATTCTATCTTACACTGTTTTGGTGAGTTTTGTATAAAAAAGAATATTTTGCTAAACTGATATATTCTTATAAAAGAAGTATAAATTCTATGTTAAGGATTTATGTATTGTATATGCTTTAATATAGTTCTTTCTTGCTGGAGCATCATAAAATTTATAGCATGATATATTAAAAATCCTTCATAGTACATTTCAATAATTAGAAAACATGAATGAGTAGGTTATTAGTTTTGAGTACAACAATAAAAAGAATTGCTTCATAACAAAATGATCAGAATGCTATTTGATGGTGTTATAGGAAAATGTGAGGAGCATAAGGATTTATTCACCTATTGTGAAACATAGTTAGCCAAAAATTATTTATGCTGAAAATGAAATTCATGATTTTCAAGAAGCTTACAATATACATTTGATTATGTCATTTGAGCTCATTAATTATCCTTTATTCTAATAGCACATATATAATGGATTGAGTGATCCCATCATTTCCAGAAAAAAGTTAATGCATTTTTTAATAACTTAGAATTTTGGAATCATAGATCAACAAAAGGACTGGTACCTTTAACACAGACACAGTAGTAAGTTGCTTTCCACAAATCAGTTCTTCCAGGTTCTAACACATCTCCTAAAGGAAATCTTTTCTGGGAATTGAATATTGATATAGCCAAACATTTAACCTACAGGTAGGTTTCATTGGTGCTTTTAAGGGAAAATTACATTTCCAGAAATAATTGGTAATTGCAACAAAACTAAATCTTTCAAATTTTAATATTCTTAGCTATCTTCATAACACCTAAGATTCCAAGCAAGAAGTCTTTTATGGACATAGTCAATATAATTTTCACAATTATTTAGTTCTCTATTTAGACTTGTGTCTGCAAATTTGTGTTTTTGTTTCTCCCCAGTTGTCTCTGTCTCTCTCTCACACACACCCTACGCACACCACCTACACACAAATACTCATACATTGTTTGAATAATTACGCTGCAGTTTTTAGATATTATTTTTAAACTTTAAATTTGAAAATGGCTTATGTCAAAATTTCTTTCTTGGATAGGGGATGCACTACTGATATCCACTTAGATTATGAATAAAGTTTTGGCAAAAATTGCTAACTGTAGCATGTCCCCTGTCCTTGACTGTATTCTTAAGCTCCCTTTGAGTTAATATTTAGCTCATCAGATAATTGTATTTAAGATCTGTGTACCTAGGGGTGCCTGACAGCTCAGTTAGGCAGTTAGGCGACTGACTCTTGATTTCAACTCAGGTCATGATCTCGCGGTTGTGAGATGCTGCCCTGCATTGGGCTTTGTGCTGACAGCATGGAGCCTGCTTACGATTCTCTCTTTTCCTCTTTCTCTGCCCCTCCCCAGATTGTGCTCCTCTCTCTCTCTCTCTCTCAAAATAAATAAATGAATAAATAAACTTAAAAAAAGATTTGTGTATCTAGTCAAATTTCCTACTCTGTATATGTGCCTGAGTCAGGTATTGAATAGAAAAGATTTGGGAAAACTACAATAAAATAGTAATTATTTACAATGGCTTAGCCTAGTCTCCCCTCTCACCCTTGGCTCACGTTTTTGTACAGGACTCCCCGGAATTTTTGATTGGTGTACTCTAATCCAGTAGGTCCTTTTATGTTGGGGTGCAATGACCAATAGAAACTACATGGATGGGGGGCGCCTGGGTGGCTCAGTCGGTTAAGCTTCTGACTTCATCTCAGGTTATGATCTCGCGGTTTGTGAGTTCGAGCCCCAAGTCAGGCTCTGTGCTGACAGTTCAGAGCCTGGATCCTGCTTCAGATTCTGTGTCTTCCTTTCCCTCTGCCCCTCCCCTGCTCATGCTCTGACTCTGTGTTTCAATAATAAATAAACGTTAAAAAAAAAAAAGAAAGAAAGAAAGAAACTACATGGATGATTCTGGACCCCCTAAAATTGCTTGTTAAATTTTGTCTTTATGCTTGTATTATTGTTTTCAGGAACAACCTTCATCAAACCCAAGAAATTACTTGTGATCCAAAATAAGGTGAAAAACCACACTTTGGCAGGGAGGGGTAAACTAGAGATCTGGGAAAATGGAGGGACATGGCTCTCTGTAGACCCAAATTTCTTTTAAAAATGCCTTTTTTTCCCTCAGAGCTCATGCCTTTCTTCCTGCTGTCCCATAATACCTCTGTTTATTTAACATAATAAATGTTTTCAATTACAGCATAAATGCTCTTGGGCGAACCTCTGTTATTTATCTAAATTAAGCCAAACAATTTCTAATTTCTTCTGAGGCCTTTTAAAGAATGGTTAGATGTTGGACCCGCTCTGGCCCCTTAGTGCCCTGCTGGCCTGTGGGAGATCACTGAATTTTTCATTGTGCCCTTGGGCTCCTCTATGTATGGGATGAGGTTTACACTGTATCAATTCAGAGTTCCTTGCTTTGTTAATATCTGTTTTTTGTGAGCACATTACTTACTATTATTTCTTTATTCCTGCTCCCAATTAAAGTGACTCACTTCTACAGCTAATTTACTTATGGAGACAATAAAAAATATAATTATTTAGAAATCTGGAGTCATCGGGATGGCTCAGTCGGTTAAGCAGCTCAGGTCATGATATCATGGTCTGTGAGTTTGTCGGGCTCTGTGCTGCCAGCTCAGACCCTGGAGCCTGCTTCGGATTCTGTGTCTCCCTCTCTCTCTCTCTCTTCCCCTCCTCCACTCTCACTCTGTCTCTCTCTCAAAAACAAATAAGCATTAAAAAAAATTTGAAATCTGGAGTTATTTTCTCTCTCAAATTTACTCCTTGGAAGAATACTTAACAAATTATACACATGTAATGGGAAGAATAATAATTAGTATGTTACTCAGATCACTTCCAAAATATTTTAAGGCAACTTCTTGTATTGGACAATGCCCACAAATGTGGAAATTCAAAGCTCAACAAGACAGAGTTTACGATATGAAGAAACAGGCTGTCTAGAAAGAGAAACCAACTTGAAACCAAATAATGATCATGCTATGTCATAGCTCATAGTCCATTTTTAGTTTTTCCTGATTCTTACTTTTTCGTCAATAGTAGTTTTTCTTTGTCTATTCAGAGCAACTCTTTTGGGGGAGGAGTTTTTTTTCCTCCTCATTATTTACATTATAGAAGGACCACAGGAAAAAAAAAATGTTAACAGGTGATTTCTTCTTCCCGCTTATAACTTACTGGACCCGGGTGGGACAATGACTCAAGATGAGCCAAGTAGTTTCTCTTTCACGTTGTTAGAACTACAATGGCTGTGAATGTCATGTATGACCAACCTGTGACATGTAAACTTGGAAATAGTAGTTCATATTCTTTTGGCCCAAGAACCAGAGAAATCCAGACACAGAGATAGGCTAGAATATGTACACAACAGGGGGGAGCTGAGAAGTACTGATGGAGTTTTTAGTTTCACTGTTTAACTCCACTCTTCAAAAGGCAGTAAAACCTGCACCAGACTATCAGTCTTCCCACCAGGTACCTACCTTTGTCCTTGTGACCACAAGCAAGAAACTTAAATTTTGTACCTCGGTTTCCTCATTTGTAAAAGGGAAATGATCGTAATAGTATGCTACGCCATGGTAACACTATATACGACTGTGATAATTATAGTATGTTACCCCAGTAGAAATCCTATGGGTTTTTTTTTGCAAAGATTAAATGAGTTAATACATATAATGTGTTTAGAGCAGATCTTGGCACCTAATAAGCACTTTGATAAACGAGAGCAGGTATTACTATTCTTGCCATTGGATTTCATGGGATAACTCTCAATAATTAAGATAAACTCCATCTTTTACTTTCTTGAGTTAGTTTATGTCACAAAAAGCTTGAAAAATTGCCCTTTATAGAAAGTTGTATATTGACATTGGTGTTTTTACTTTAACTGGCAGCACGGGAGACAGCCTAGGCTGATGGAAAAAATGAACCTTGGCAAAATATTTCTCTAAGCTTCATTTTTCTCTTTGTTAAATGCAAGTCTTAGTAACTATTGCATAAGGTTGTTTTAGGATTAAATGATTTACAGTATCTATCACCTGGCTTATTGTGAATAAGCAACAATTCATATGATATTATGCTTATTATTTTTGGTAGATTTATTCTAATTCATTCTGTATTTATTATTATCTGGGTAACTCTATTGTTGCTTGATTTGTTTGAATTTTGAGCTATTTCACTTCAAAATTGTTTGGGGCTTTTTGAGCTAGTTATTTTAGGCCTTAAAATAAGCACTGTAATAAAAGAATTAAGTAATTTTACCCATTATGACTATTAAATGCCTAATTTTTTTGTCAATTTTCCAAGAATGACAGTTAAAGTAGGATTTAATGTTAACAGTTTAATCATTTCCTTATAGTTCCTACTCTTAATACACTTCCACGTCAATACATATTAGATAAGTTAGTAATTGTTCTTACAACTCTAAAATTTCAAAGTTCTTCTAGAAGAGAATTAAGATATTATGGTAATCAAACAGGCATTTATAATATAGTTTCCATTTTCTCTACATTCCTTAAATTCTTTTTTTCATTCCACCTCTATTTATAATTCTAGTTGCATCTTTCCTGTTGATGTTTACATTCAGGATTTCATTATTTTATCAGATCCTAAATCTTCTGAATCAACATATATTAAGGTATAGTTTCACAATTTATTAATCAAATAATTCGTATAGTTTTTATGTACCATAAATCTAAGAGGCCTACTGTTTTTAATGTTTTTATTTATTTTTGAGGGAGATTGAGAGCATGAGTGGGGGAGGTGCAGAGAGAGAGAGAGAGAGCGAGGGAGAGAGAGAGAGAGACAGAGGATCTGAAGCAGGCTCTGTGCTGACAGCAGACAGCCCAATGTGGGGCTTGAACTCACAAATGGTAAGATCATGACCTGAGCCAAATTCGACACTTAACCAACTGAGCCAACCAGGCTCCTCCAAGAGGCCCAATTCAATAAATACCCTTGTACCCACAAGCAGAAATCAGTGAGGTCAAGAACTTTCGCATATAGTTCAAAACAAAGATGTTTTATAATTTTCAAGCATCAGATACTTGTAAGCATAAAGTGGCAACAAACAAAAGCTCTCTGATATTAAGAAAGATACTGGTAAAATGCCTCTTTGTCAATGAGGTATACAAAAACAAAATGACAAATTATTATGAATTTATTGAAATAAACAATACTCCATAAGAAAACCTATGGATTACAATTAAAACTGTACTCAAGGGGCGCCTGGGTGGCGCAGTCGGTTAAGCGTCCGACTTCAGCCAGGTCACGATCTCACGGTCCGTGAGTTCGAGCCCCGCGTCGGGCTCTGGGCTGATGGCTCAGAGCCTGGAGCCTGTTTCTGATTCTGTGTCTCCCTCTCTCTCTGCCCCTCCCCAATTCATGCTCTGTCTCTCTCTGTCCCAAAAAATAAATAAACGTTGAAAAAAAAAATAAAACTGTACTCAAAGCAAAATAGATAATTTAAATTTATTTATTATTTAAAAAGAAATATACAAGTAAATAAATTTTCATGTTAAAAATTAGAAAAATAATTTATAATCAATTAGGAAGACATTAAAAAGTAAGTCCAAAATAAAGTAGTTTAAAACCAAAACACAAAGGGATTTAAAAATACAATGCCTGCACTTTCAACAATTCAACATATCAGTAAGAGAATTATTTCTAGTATTACAGGTCACAGTCAGCAAAATTGGTGAACTTCTTTTTGAAGATTTAGGTAGTACAATGAAGCAAGAATAGAATAAAAATAAGACATATAAGGAAAAAAATACAAAATTTTCCTTCAATTGAAGATGATATAACTCATTTCTAGAAAATGAAAGAAAATTTATTAAAACCTTATGAAAATGAATAAGACCATTTGGAATACTGGCTGTATATCAGATGAATATACAAAAGTCAATAACTTTCTCTATATTTGCAATAATCAGAAATTCAAGTGGAAAATTAGTACGTCATTGACAATGGTAATCAAGATTATAAAATCCTAATAAAGTTTTAAAAAGCCATTGGACTATAAAGCATTATTGAAGAACATAAGAAATGTGAATAAATAGAGATATACTCCCACTGAACAGGAAGATCTGATTTTATAAAATCAAGTACAGATACTTTAATGAACTTTATTGAAGTATGATTATATACAGTAAAATGTATACATTTTAATTGTGTAGCGGATAGGTTTTAATGAATGTATACATCACTATAATTTCCACCTATTTTGAGATATGGAACATCTGCATCACATCAGTAGATTCTCTTGTGCCCCCTGCAAGGAATGCCCCCCTTACAGGAAATCTCAGGAAAACACTGATCTGACTTCTATCAGTATAGATTAGATTTGCCATTTTAGAACTGCACATAAATATAGTAATATAACAGCTACTCTTGTATTTGGCTTCCTTCACTCTATGTAAGGTTTTCAAAATGTATGCTCGTTATTGAATCCATGGTTGTATAAGTGGTTCATTCCTTAATTTGCATATCTCATCATAAGATTATATAATGTTTCCACCTCCCTTCACCTGTTCATGGACAGTTTGGTGATTTCTAGTTTGGGGGCCTTATTAAAGTTGTTATTCTGATATTATACTTTAATGTATCATTCTTTTATGAGCATATTTGAACTGTTCTCTTGTGTGAATTCCTAGTTGTGGGATTACTAATTCATATAGTAAGTGCATTTTAAAATAATTTTACCTGGGGCACCTGGGTGGCTCAGTTGGTTAAGCGTCTGACTTTGGCTCAGGTCATGAGATCACCGTTCATGAGTTTGAGCGCCCCGTCAGGCTATGTGCTGACAGCTCAGAGCCTGGAGCCTGCTTCAGATTCTGTGTTTCCCTCTCTCTGCTCCTCTACAGCTTGCACTCTATGTGTGTGTGTGTGTCTCTCTCTCTCAAAAATAAAGAAACATTTTAAAAAATTAAAAAAAAGTTTTTCCTGCTTTCTCCTCGAGGATTTTGATGGCTTCCTGTCTTACATTTAGGTCTTTCATCCATTTGAGTTTATTTTTGTGTATGGTGTAAGAAACTGGTCCAGGTTCATTCCTCTGCATGTTGCTGTCCAGTTTTCCCAGCACCATTTGCTGAAGAGACTGTCTTTATTCCACTGGATGTTCTTTCCTGCTTTATCAAAGATTATTATGTGGGTCCATTTCTGGCTTCTTTATTCCCTTCCACTGATATGTGTCTGTTTTTGTGCCAGTACTATACTGTCTTGATGATTACTGCTTGGTAATACATCTTGAAGTCTGAGATTGTGATGCCTCCAACTTTGGTTTTCTTTTTCAGGATTGCATTGGCTATTTGGGGTCTTTTCTGGCACCTCAGCCACAGCAACTTCTTACTCAACGTGTCTCTGGAGGCAAGGGAAACAAAAGCAAAAATGAACTATTGGGACCTCATCAAGATAAAAAAAAAAAAAAAAAACTTCTGTATGGTGAAAGAAACGATCAGCAAAACTAAAAGGCAACGAATGGAATGGGAGAAGATATTTGCAAACGACATATCAGATAAAGGGTTAATATCCAAAATCTATAAAGACATTATCAAAATCAACACCCAAAAAACAACTAATCCAGTGAAGAAATGGGCAGAAGACATGGATAGACATTTTTCCGAAGAAGACTTCCAGATGGCTAACAGACACATGAGAAGATGCTTCAACATCACTCATCATCAGGGAAATACAAATCAAAACCACAGTGAGATATCACCTCACACCTGTCAGAGGGTTAACATTAACAACTCAGGCAATGACACATGTTGGCAAAGTTGTAGAGAAAGAAGAACACTTTTGCACTGCTGGTTGGAATGCAAACTGGTACAGACACTCTGGAAAACAATATGGAGGTTCCTCAAAAAATTAACTACCCTATGACCCAGCAATTGCACTACTAGATATTTATCCAAAGGATACAGGTATGCTGTTTGGAAGGGGCACATTCACCCCAAAGTTTATAGCAGCGTTATTGACAATAGCCATAGTATGGTAAGAGCCCAAATGTCCATCAACTGATGAATGGGTAAAGAAGATGTGGTGTGTGTGTGTGTGTGTGTGTGTGTGTATATATATGTATATATATATATATATATATATATATATATATATATATATACACCATGGAATATTAGTCAGCAATCAAAAAGAATGAAATCTTGTCATTTGCAACAATGTGGATGGAACTAGAATGTATTATGTTAAGTGAAATTAGTCAGTCAGAGAAAGACAAATATTATATGACTTTACTCATATGTGAAATTTAAGATACAAAATAGATGAACATAAGGGAAGGGAAGCAAATATAATATAAAAACAGTATGGGGGATAAAACATAAGAGACTTAAATACATAGAAAAATTGAGGGTTGCTGGAGGGGTTTGGGGTAGGTTAAACAAGCAGGAGGCATTAAAGAGGATGCTTGCTGGGATGAACACTAGGTGTTATATGTAGGGAATGAATCACTGGGTCCTACTTCTGAAATCATCATTGCACTATATGCTAACTTGGATATAAAATTAAAAGATAAAATAATTTTACCTACTTTATTGAAATACAATTCACATACCATGCAATTCACTCCCTGAAAGTTTACAGTTCAATGATTGTTAGGATATTCACAGATATTTGCAACATCACCACAGTAAATTATAGAACATTTCCATCACTTTAAAAAGAAACCTTATGTGTCTTAACTGACCCTCCTCTGTCCCCTCATACTTCTCTCTTCATTCCCAAGAAATCACTATTCTACTTTCTGTCTCTGTAGCTTTTCCTATTCTGGATTTTCATATGGATAGAATCAGGGCATATAGCTTTATGTGATTGGCTACTTTCACTTAGTCCAATGTTTAAGAAGTTTATCCACGTTGCAGTATGTATCAGACCTCCATTCCTTTTTATGGACAAATAATATCCCATTGTATGTATATACCGCATGTTGTTTATTCATTTATCCATTGATAAACATGTAGATTGTTTCTACCTTTTGACTATTATAAATTATGCTAGTATATGTGTTGTTATGTAAGTTTATTTGTGTAAACATGTTCTCATTTTGCAGGGGAATTGCTGAGTCATATGATAATTCTATTTTTAACCATTTGAGGGACTACCTTATTGTTTTCCAAAGTGGTTGCACTATTTTAAATTCCCAAGTAATGTATGAGAATTCCCATTTCTCTACATATTCACCAATACTTGTTACTTGATTTTTTGATTCTACCCATCCTAACTGGTATGAAGTGATATCTCATTGTGGTTTTGCTTAGCATGTGCCTAATGACCAATGATGCTGAGCATCTTTGCTTGTGCTTATTGGCCATTTGAATATCTGCCTTCCCTGGAAAATGCCTATTATAATTTTTTCCCAATTGATTGCTTGGGTTATTTGTCTTCATATTAAATTGTGAAGGTTCTTTATATATTTCATGCAAAATCTGTCTTCAGATATATGATTGGCAAATGTTTTCTTCCATTCTGTGATTGTAACTGAACCCGAATTTGTCTGCCCGATGCACAGCAAAGAAAATCACTAAGACCTCAGGTATGCATCGAGGAAAGGGTTGATTCAAGAGGTAGCCAAACAAGAAGATAGGAGGACAAGACTAAAATCCCCCTTCCTGAAATGGGAGAG